GACGTTTCATCTTTCACGTATTAATGATAAAACTCTGACACTAATATCCAAGTTTGATAACACGTTTCATCTTTCACGTATTAATGATAAAACACTGCACACACATTTTTGAATATTTTCTAAAATTACACAATGAAACATCTTATGAAATTGAGCAATGACAAACTGTTTCCTTACGTCTCTATTTTTCGTTACAGAATGTATCACTTTCTTTGTTTTGGTTTCCTTCCTCGATATTTTGATATTTAATAAACGCATGTTACTGTTCATATTTCTTGGGACCTATAGGTTGTATTTGGATTCCCACTGATATCAGAATGATATCTTCGAGTCCGTCTTCGAAACGTCATTCTTCTGTGCAAGCGGCACTGCAGTAGATCCATGATCGAATGCCGGAAGTTCTTGGAGAGAAAAGCGTACAGAATTGGGTTAAGACCCGAATTCAAGTAAAATATCAACGTCGTAACGATCGTGAAGACTGCCGAGGAAGAGCTTCCACCACGGTAGTTAGGAGACCAGTATTGCCAAAACTTTCTAGCGTGAAAAGGTAGGTTGCAAAGCGTAAATGTAAAGACGACAGCCACCAGTAAACGGATCACTCTGCGTCGAGCTTTTAGGACGGTCGTGTTAGCGTTGTGCTGCGATGTCCGACTTTTCTTCAGAATCAAAGTGCTCGTTTTGTGTCTCAAGTTTCGGGTGTCTTTATGTAAGACTACCGCAGTGTGGTCTACGTCAAGACGGCTTCTGTCCACATCTCTGAGTCCTGTTATTGTGAAGCTAGACGTTAGGTTGGAGCAGGATCTGTTCGTCACCGATTTTCCGAAGAAATTTCCACTCGAAGATGACCGGCGAACGTTCAAACTGGCTGCGGATGAGAACGCATTAGTGTCACTTCCCGACTCTGCGAGTGATGTCAATCGTATCTCGTTTGTCTGTTTCGGTATCCGGCTCTTCCAGAGACGGACACAGATAATGGAATAGACGACTGAGATGATCGTCAAAGGCAGGAGAAAACAGACGACAAAATTCACAATGTCGTACGTCTTGGAGTTGTACAAGGATCGCTTCATGTGACAAATGACAAAATGCGTACCCCTAAGCGGTACAGCCGAGGTTCCAAACATGAAAAGTCGAGGGGAACAGTATACAGCACTGACTGTCCACACTAAAGCCATGACGACTCGCAAGCGTCTTGTTGTGATGATGCGTTTCTTCCACATTGGGTGGACAATGGCTACATACCTTTCTAAACAAATGACTGTCAATATACCTATGGAAGCCGTGTAGCTCAGGCTTTGGACGAAATGGTACATTTTACACAAGAAGTTCCCAAGGGACCAACTTTCTGCCAGGTAGTTATACAAGTTTTGATATACACAAAACAAACCCACACAAAAGTCAGCTACGGCCAGGTTTGTGAGAAAGAAGTTTGTAATTGTGTGCATGCGGCGATGAAAAGCCACAACCAGAATTACTAACAGATT